ACTTTAAACAGTCTTTTATTTTTTGTTTATTATTATAATTTTTTAAAAATTACACAAGACAATTGTTTAATTAAAATATATATGTTGTTCCATTTTAAGTTAGATATTTTCTGTATATCTTCATATGTATCTTTATATATCTATATTTCACTTAATTACGTCAATTATTATTGTCAGTTTAGTAATTTCTAAAATGTATCATTTTTATAAAGTTTTTATCTTCATATGTCATATATGTATTTTATTTAATTGTGTCATTTATTCTTGCAACTTTTATAAAACATATATATTATTTTTATAAAATTTATAATATAACTTAACTTTATAATATTAATTTATTTAGAATATAATTAAAAAATTTTTAGAATATAATAAAAAAACTTTTATAAAACATATATATTATTTTTATAAAATTTATAAAATTTATAATATAACTTAACTTTATAATATTAATTTATTTAGAATATAATTTAACATTATAATATAACGGGTGATAAATAATCAAATGACATTTAAATGAAGAAATTAAATTAAATAAATTGACACACGAATGCATTTTGCATACTTTTAAACGTCAAAGTAGATAATCATCTGCTGTATCTCTATTAATTTGCTTTGATGATGCGAATCTGATAAATATTTATGTGCAGTATTTGTTGAATCTATAGACTTCACATTAGAATTTACCGTCGAATTTTCAGTTCTGATTTTCCCCCACGATATCGGCGCGATGTAATTAATTATCGCGTGACCGCCTCTCGTATATATAGATATCTTGACATTGCATTTTCGAGTACGTGTTAATTGTGCGTAAATATCGTCCGTAAATTGAATAAACAAATTGCGTTCACGTGAACGTAAAATGCAGACTTGCGCTCGTGTTTATTTAGATATAGATCTATCAATTTGCGCTTATTACGAGCATGTTAAAGTGTAATCCTTGTAATCAAGTACACTAATCCTTTAATTAAGTACACTATAGCCCTACGATATGACTCTACCATTCTTGCTATAATATTCTATTATTGTACAATAATATAATTTTTTTAATTGCTTTTATTAATTATTATATAATTTTTAATAATTTAATTGTTATATAATTTTTATATAATTTCTAATAGTATAATTTTTATATCATTTTTATATAATTTTTAATAATATAATTTTTTAATTTGCTTTTATTAATTATTAAAATTATTTTTCTTACTACTCTTATTAATTACTATAATTATTCCAATTCATATCTGATTACTTTCAATTTTTATTATTGGGTATGGGAATAAGTTTCCGCCCTCTTGAAAGAGGTATCGCTGGTGATACTATTTTTGTGTTCGCTCAAGTACTATACTTGTGATTTGAAGGTGTATGTGTGAGGTCTCGATTGCAGTAGTTGACATTCATTTCAAGCGTAAACATTATTTTTTATCTGGCGTCAAAAATGTCAATGTTCGTCTCGAAAAAGCAGCATTTGCGGGAAGTTATGCTTCATTATTACATTTCGAAGAAAAGTGCCGCTGAAACGTGTCGTACATTGAGCAATATTTACGGTGATCACGCTCCGTCTAATACAACTTGTAAAGAGTGGTTTTGACGATTCCAAAGTGGCGATTTTGACGTGAGTGATAAAGAACGCGAAGGGACACCGAAAAAATTCGAAGATGCACAACTGCAAGAATTATTGGATGAAGATGCATGTCGAATCCTAGATGATTTGTCCAAAGAGTTGGATGTTGACAGAAATGGGAATGGGACGGTAGACATGATAAACTCATTTTGCTGCATGACAACGCTAGGCCACACGTTGCTCAATCTGTCAAAAAATATTTGGAAGGAGTGAATTGGGAAATCTTGCCCCACCCGCTGTATTCCCCAGACATTGCACCTTCGGATTACCATCTATTCCGATCTATGCAGTCAGTCCTTACTGGAGAGCAGTTCACTTCTTACGAAAGTATCGAAAAATGGCTCAATGAATGGATCGAGTCGAAAGAACCTGATTTTTCCTCCGAGGAATCCGTATACTCCCTGAAAGATGGGGAAAAGTTGTCGCTTCCAATGCATACTTCGCATAATATCATTATGTAATATTTCATTGTTTAAATAAATATTAACTTTGTTTAAAAAAGGGCGGAAACTTATTCCCATACCTAATATAATTTATAATAAATATTTTTTATGTTATCTGACTTCATTTGACTCACTATATTTTCGCTCTTGGCCTGAAATTCTCACGATAATTAACTACTTGAAGCTACAATCATTCGTTTGAATGCCTCACTATTCGCTTTAGCGTTTTTTATTTAATAAATGAACATCGACCGCGACATTTTGCTTCTCTTCTTTTATTTACGCCTGCATATTAACAGTGGTTGGGTCATTGTTAATATGCAGGCGTAAATAAACCAATTGATGTTCCAGCAACAAAACATCCCGACAATTTTTAACTCGTTCTATTACATTTTATTTATTTAGTTTAACTTTGACTGCGAATAAATTTTTGATAAATAAGATTAAAATATAAAAATATAAAACACGTAACATAAAATCCAGATTTTTTCTTCTATCCATGTGTTTTATATTTTTAAATTAATCTTATTTTTATCAAAAGTTATTTATCAACAATAGATATTTAAATCAATATCTTAACGATTAATATATCATTATATTATATAATATTTAGATTTCATTTTATTTTATATGGAAGAAAGAGAAAGAAAGGGAGAAATTTTCTTGTATCACTTGTTTACAAAAATATTCTTATTTTTTCACACTGTTGGAAAATTTCTCTTTTTGTTAAAAAATATACCGATTAAAATTTTTGTATTAAATATTTAATACATTTATGCGTTAATTTAATATATATATGCTATTATAATATATATTGCTATTGTGCTAAGTGGATTTAAATGTTAAATTATTAAAATAACTGAAAAAAGTGCAAAAATAATCCAGTGCGCATCTAATTTGAATTTTACATAATAGATATGTTCCATATTATTGGTGAAAGAATTTAAAATTTCTGTTAAAATTTACAAAAAAAAAAGAAATCAAAATATCACTTGTTATTGCTGATTACTGTCACGTGTTATCTTCTTGACCGTCGAGACTCTAATACGTGATCTCGATATGTCTGAAAACGTGTCAGTTTAAATCCCGATCTCGATAGAAATTATTATAAAGATATATTATATTAACTTTATATTAACTTTTCACATATTATATTAACTTTAATTTTTCATTAAATTACACAATTTTCACAAAAAAAATAATGTAAAATTTTATATATTATTTTAATCGAAAGTTGGAATTGTTACATCTACAAAATATAAAAATAACATTTTTTCTAAATTAATTTTATCATTAAAAATATATTGATGTTTTCCACAAAATTTATTTCAAATTATATAATACTATAATGTTTTCATTTATTTTGAATTAAAATATTAAATATTACAAAATTTTTGTAAATTGTTAAATTACACAATTTTCACAAAAAATATGTAAATGTAAAATTTTACATATTATTTTAATCAAAAGTTTGAATTGTTACATCGATAAAATATAAAAATAACATTTTTTCTAAATTAATTTTATCATTAAAAATTATTGATTTTTTTCACAAAGTTTATTTTAAATTATTATAATATTTTTATTTATTTTGAATTGAAAATATTAACATAGTATCATTATTTAACATATCTAAATTATGTTAAATTAATACAAAAATTTATGTAGAAATTGTACAGATTGTTTGAGGCATGCGATATATTTTAAATTTAAAAATCGTCCAACAGTGGCAACATATATACATTTACATCCTATCATTTATTTTATCATTTATGTAATCATGTTTTTTTAATTTGTCACATCATACATTATATAATTTATTTTATCACTTATATTATCATATTTTTTTACAATTTATATCAGAAAAAAGATTTTAAGATAATTATTTATTAATCTCACTCAAATAAAAATCAAAAAGAACATTCGACATTATTTTTATGCAATATGAATATTATTCAGGAATTTTATGTATTTACAAAATTTTCTAAAAAATATTAGAATTTATGTTTTTTGAATAATTGTGCAAGAGAATAATAATAAATTATAATAGTACAGAAAAAAGAATATAAAATAAAAACTCACACGGCGAGATTAATGATATAATCTGGAGCACCTATTAAATCGTGATTGGGCAGAATTCGCAGCTTCTAATTTAATTCTTTTAATTCTTTCTAATTTAATTTTTTAATTCTTTAATTCTTTTTTGCCTACCGTTTCTCGCCGAGAAAAATAAGAATAAAATTGACGCTAATAAAACAGCTGTTTCTCATCATGGTAAATGACATTTCTCCGCGCGATTAATTAGCATCGCGCTAATTGCGAATTTTAATAACAATTGCAAAAAATCATATTTCATCCACAGATTTTTCTACAAATTTTTAAACATTCCACAAATTCAATTTAAAATTTGATTCAAAATTAATTGATCAAACAATTATCCTTAATTCAAAATTATGAAGAAAAAATGAAACCTTACCAAATTTTCGCATAAAAGGCGACTTTATATTCACGTGTATGCAAATATACTATAAAACTTTTATTAAATTTATCGCAGTGAGAAAATTAACGCGAATTTTGATTAGATTTATTCTTTTCAATTTTTACACTTTTTTAACTCTAAAACACAAATTATGATCATTCGATAATGAAGACGAGAAACGTTGATCAAATATTGACCCTCGCCCTTCGACGCGATCGTGATGAAATTGTCTCGTCGTTCGATCAAGTAGGCGACAACAGGTCGGGTTGAGGAGCGTAGTTTGTTTATGTCGCAATCGCGCACACAATGTATTTCGACGCGTACGAAAAAGCCAGAAAGAGACGAGGCACAAGTCGAACTCGTCGGGCATCCTAAGGTGCCGATAGCGTTTGGGGAGGGGCGCCCATATAAATGGTCCTCTCTCGCTCCTTGTCGACCAGTCCTCAGGGTGCGTTGCTCCCTCGTGTTCTCTCTATTGGCATTATTCTAGTTTCCGTTTCCTTTTTTTTTGACGGCTTTTTCCGCCCGGGTTCGTACGCTTTCCTCTCGAAAACGCGCGGAAGATCGACCGAGATCTCTCTCGCGAGCATCCTCATCTCGACGACGAAATTCCGATCACGATGAGCACCAACCTTCTCGTCAGGATTTGCGGGCCCAAGCTCCTGCGCTCCGCGAAAATGACCAAGCAAGAGCCATGGATTACCGTCAGCAGATGTTTTAGGTTGGTAGAATCCGTAGGTTTGATAGAAATGCGGAGAGAGATTGTTTTAGGAATTCATTTTCTCTAAATTCATTTTTTTAAATAAATTTTTTTATTTTAAACTGATCTATATTTGTTGCCTTATAAAATCGTAATTTGTGTTTTAGAGAGAAAAAAATGTTAAAAAAGTGTAAAAATTGAAAAGAATAAATCTAATCAAAATTCGCGTTAATTTTCTCGCTGCGATAAATTTAATAAAAGTTTTATAGTATATTTGCATACACGTGAATTTAAAGTCGTTTTTTTTGCGAAAATTTAGTAAGGTTTCATTTTTTTTTTTCGTAATTTTGAATTAAGAATAAATGTTTGATCAATTAATTTTGAATCAAATTTTAAATTATTATAATTGAATTTGTGGGATGTTTAAAAATTTGTAGAAAAATCTGTGGATGAAATATGAAGTACGCTTTACCTGTTTCTGTAAAAAATTAATTATTAATTAATACAGAGGAATAATTATTAAAAAATTAAATATTAATAGAATAATTAATAAAAAATTAATAAAAAATTGATAAATGTCCAAATTCTAATTTTATAAATTTTATTAGCGTGTGTGCTATCAATATAGAACAAATATCTCAAGTAACAAAAGATTAACAGTATTGATTTTCATTACGCTGATACAAATCATTTATAATGATTATTTCCTATCTTATAAACATCATTCCATATAAACATACATATACGTAAAATTAAAAGAACCCAAGGTTTTATAAAAAACACAATAAACAAAGAGTAATAAATATAAGTGTGGAAATAATAAATATAAGAATACTAAATATAATAAAAATTAACATTTTAATTTTTAAATAATCACGCAATAATTTATAATAACACGCCGAAATTGACACATATTTTTCAAGAAGAACATAAGTCTGAATTTTGAATAATTTGTAGTTCCTCGAAAAAAAAGAAAGATATGCATACGCGAGATATTTCTGGCCAAAGTCTTCGTCCGAAGGCCTAAATATATTGATTTGAAATATATAGCTTTGAAGGTCTCCTCGAGGCTGTTTATATGCGACTCGCGTCCGAATTATTTACAATCTCGCTTTTTCGCCCGCGCCGCTTATCACGATAAGTTCGTTATTTTTAGCACAATTTAATATCGATTAAAACTCGTAATTCGTCAGTGTGACCGAATCATGCATTATTTACAAAAGAAAGAGTCGCCCGATTTGAATAATAATAAACTCATGTAATCGAGGCAAGGAATAATTCCTTCGTTGATATTTAAATGTCAAAGTCAGGACGAATATGTTTTGTACACATAACTAGCCGCGAAATAAATGTCGAATAAATCACATGCATAATCACGAGCTCTTGTGCTGCGACAGCCCGATTGGGCTAGAAAGTAATTTGCTTTTTGCACAATGGCCGTAAAAGAAAAGCACCGAACATCAACTTCCTTTAACGAAGATTGAATGGAATACTGATAAAAAAAACGTGGACGCAAGTAATAAGAAAATTACGAGGAATCATGAATTAAAGGTCGTTGACAAAGGAAGAAGATGAGGAAAATAAAATTATACAATTACTATTAAAAAAATAAATTAGTGAAATTGTTTTTCTATCGAAAAGAATTTCGGAAAAAAAGGAACGCCCGCGATGATAATATTTGACAAGCAAGTAGGTCGGTTGATTCTTCGTCGCTATTTTTTCTGTTGACAAAATGTTTCGTTATTTGTTTTTCTGTCGACAAAATTCTCCATTGTTGACATCGAAAGATTCTTTTTATTTTTTTTTTACTAGTTAAACAAAGCGCGATTAAGTCTTACGAAAGCACGTTATACAGGGTGTCCCAAAAGTCCCGGACCGGTCGAATATTTCATAAACTATGCACTTTAGAAAGAAATGTTTCAGAAAAAGTTGTATGGCTTGAAGGGGGCCATCAGATAGTGGCAATGATTTGACATGGGAGAGTCATTTGAAAGTCACGTGAAGATCACCGTCAATTTCTTAAATGAAACTCCCTATTTTTTATTAAATATTCTGGTAGCTCACGTCGAGAGCTTTCCAAAACACTATAATAAAATATTTCTTCATTAAGTACTTTCCGAATTATGAGGCTTGAAATCATTTCTTAATTTTACATAAACCGTAAAATATCTTGTAAAATATTCATTTTTCGATTATCTTAATAATTTTATGTACAAAATAATGAGAGGAATCAATTGGTGTAAAGAAAAAACATAATTGTTTTTAAGAAGAAAATATGTAATTTGCAATTAACAATTACATATTTTTTTTTAAAAACAACTATGTATTTTCTTTACACCAATTGATTCCTCTCATTATTTTGTACATAAAAGTATTAAGGTAAGATAATCGAAAAATGAATATTTTACAAGATATTTTACGGTTTATGTAAAATTAAGAAATGATTTCAAGCCTCATAACTCGAAAAGTACTCAATGAAGAAATACTTTGTTATAGTGTTTTGGAAAGCTCTCGAGATAAGCTACACGAATATATAATAAAAAATAGGGGGTTCCATTTAAGAAATTGAAGGTGACCTTTACGTCACCTTCAAATGACTTTTCAAGGTCAAATCATTGCCACTATCTGATGGCCCCCTTCAAGCCATACAACTTTTGTCTGAAACATTTCTTTCTAAAGTGCATAGTTTATGAAATATTCGACCGGTCCGGGACTTTTGGGACACCCTGTATATAGGGTATCAATATAATATACGTTCACGAATTAGTCATCTGTGTCCTCGCCTTCTTTTTCTCTCTTTGTCATGTGTACATATTTTTCGGTCGTCTTTTCTTTATTTTTCGACGTCTACACCTGTTTGCCCTAGATACTTTCTACAACAGCAATTAACCTGTCGTGAAAATCGATAAATTATACGTTTAATTCCAAATGATCTTATTGCCATCATCATCATTTAAATGCTTGGAGTATATAATACGACCTATTTAAAAAGTGCTGTAAAGGCGATTCTTTTCATCCGCCGAATCATATTCATTTGTATCGCAAAAAACTGCAAAAATTTTCCATTATATAAAATAATTAATATAATATTTATATTAATTATTATTATTTATAATAATTATTACATTAATATAATATTAATATATAATTAATATAATTAATATAATATTTATATTAATTATATTAATAATATAATAATATTATATTAATATTATATTAATGTTATATTAATATTATATTATTATTATATTAATGTTATATTAATATTATATATTACTCTCTAAAAGTGAATCAGTGTATTATCACTGAAATACAGTAAATAGTCACTGATTACAGTAGTTATAAGTACTGTAAATCAGTGATATTTTATCGAAAGAATCAGTTAATTTTGACTGTTTCAATCAGTAAGATTTCTCAATATTAGTTATATTTCTTTCGTTATCGTCAGTAATATTAAACTATAATTCATCTCTTCATAATTTTCATTAACTCATCAGACATTTATTTGTCCGACTTATATAAGATCGATTTAATACCTGAAGCCTCTCTATTGAGATTGTATCAGAAATTAAATCGAAGTAATATTTCTAATTTTATCTGTCGCTCTTTGCAAACTTTATATAATTCTTATGATTAAAACTAAATACGAGAGAGATAGCGATCGTAGCGTAAACGAACGAACTAGCAATTACTGGTTTTACAGTGAAATTTACTGGTTTTATAATGAATTTTATTTTAACTGACCATAATTAGTGAAATATAAGATAAAATAACAAAAAAAAAGCATTTCTACTGAAAATCAGTAAAATACTCACTGATTCTCAATAAAATCTTATTTTAAATTAATGATATTTTTAAATTAATGATATTTTCACTGATTCACTTTTAGAGAGTAATGTTATATATTAATATTATATTAATGTTATATTAATATTATATTAATATTATATTAATAATATATGTAATATATTATATTATATTTATATATAATATATTAAGATAACAGTGTAAATATTAATACTAAACGATACTAAAATATACCCTCTGTACACTGAGGAAAAATTTATCTTGAAATAAAAAAATTTTAGTTAACTCTAACTAAAGACTAACTAAGAAACCTATTTATTCGGTGAGTACTAATCACGTATTTACTTGTATTCAAAACGTCTGTTTGCTTAAGTTAAGTATTTATTTACATATGTTTAAAAAATATATATGCTTAAAAAAATATAATTTTTAATTAAAATTTTTATATTTTAATTTTACAAAATATTTATTAAAATGCATTTTTTATTCCCAAAAATTTAAAATTTTTTAATTTTAAAAAATAATATATTTAATTTAATAAATTATAGTATATATTTTACGAAAATAGTATTTAAATATAAAATACGAAAATAGTATTTAAATATAAAATATATATAAATGAAAATAATGTACTTAATATAACATGCATATTTAATTAAAATTAAATGCTTTTGCTTAAATGAAATAAACAATTCCTTCCATTTAGAGCAAAAGTTTTAAGAAAACAAATTTATTTTATTCCAAAAAATTTTTCCCTCAGTGTACTAATGACTTTTGTTGAAATTTTGATTGTTTTAATTTCGATGTGAATATGTTTACATTATCAGGTTCCGTTGGAAATATTGTCAAATGAAATGGCATAATAAAATCGAAGAGCGTCGTTAAAATTTCACAAGAGCAATACACTGTTATGGAACGCAGAAATAGAAATTTAATATTCAATACCGGCTTACGTGTCGTTTTAGCGACGGCAAATTTGTGTTGTATTTAGGTCTCACCGAAAATTTACGTTTCAAGCAAAAATCCAAATATATTACAACGCATAGTCATCGGATCCGTATGGTCGTCACGCCAAATGTTGTGAGAAAAGAAAACATACAAAGATGTATACAGGATGTTCCAAAAAGATCGGAATCCCGGATTATCTCGGAAAATGTAAATTTTATTGAAAAATGTTTAATACAAAATTGTAGGATTTAAAAAGATATATTCAA